TGGGATAATACTCGCTAGGAGCTTCGTTAGTTAGTCCGGACGTCGAAATTCGGCAACCTCTCACAAGAATTTCAGCCTCAACCAATTTGAAATGTGTAGGCCGGGTCTCGTCGAATGAGCGCAACTTGAGAATTGGCATCGTTTCGCCGCACTGCTGCCGGGTCTCGTCGAATGAGTCGCAACTTGAGAATTGGCATCATTTCGCCGCGCTGCTGCCGCGTGTTCGGCAATTCGAATCTTGAAAAGTCTGTCAGTTTCTCCGACATAGTTGCTTTTTCCGCAACTATCCCAGATCCTATATACGGCTCCAGATGTTTCTTGCCGTGAAAATGAGTCTTTCTGTTTCATTAGTTGACGCCTTATGGTTGCCTCAGGTCTGTGTGCGACTCCAAGTCCAAATGGTGCGAGAGGGCGGCCGGCCTCCGAGACGTTTTTGACGTATGGGATCGCTCGCCAAAATTTTGGGGTCGGTGTTTCGGCAACTAACTACTGTCGTTATACTTTGAAGTTGTGTATGGCATAAAATTCTAAAAATTAATAGATTGGGCACGGTAGTCCCCCCCTATATGGTAGGTGATACTGCACTGTATTCAGGGGGTGTCTATTCCCGTCTCAAAGCTGAACCGTACCGTACCTTAACAATAACCAAAACCCATATTCTCCCTCCCTGCCAATTAAGATAACCTACTGGTCTACAAATAGATTATACCAAATAAGCCCTTTGGCAGCTGCCATATGGAAAACGAACTGACTTAAGCATGACATTTAAAATTCATTGAATCATTGAGAACGCTAACAACAAGTGCTTGCGGTGCCTCGTGTAAACTCCCAGCCCCAGAAAAAGCTTGTTTTCCTTGCCTCCCGATTTGGGAACCTCCAAGCGGATTACAAAAATGATGGGCATAAACTGAGAGCTTCAAAATCACAACAGCTATCCCGTGTATGTCTATAATTTCCAACTAAACGAGGGCTACTTGCTCTTGGCCTACAATTATGTAAATGACGTCTTTTTTGAAATTTTATTCTGTATCGGTACATGTCCTAGTCACTTTGTTATCAACAGGAAGCTCAAGGCGTTCGCCTATCCTTCCCTTAATAAAACTGAATTGGACGTGCTGAAGTTCACAGTTCCCCACTTAGGCCAAAGAATTGTGGTTGAGAGCCCCGGTCAAATTGGAGGACACGGCATCCGGCTCCTAACTTGGATTGAAAGGACACTTCATCTGCCTTACCGTTACAGTGAATAAAGAAAACCATATGGGCACGTCTATTAACTGATAAACATAGTGGCTTCAATCTCAGAAAGGCGAACCAAACACTCGGATAATAGTTACCTCGACTAGAAGCGAAATTTACAATAAAAATTTCGGTGAGAGCAACGTAACCGAGGTCAGCTTAGAGCAGGAACCTAGACAAACTATAAAGTTCAGGAGGTATTTTGACCATATTTCCAGAGATATAGGTAGGGCTCGAGCATAAAAAACAACTACAAGCACCAAAACTTAGCGTCATAAAAGCTCTGCGGTAGAGTTTAGAAAAGTTAGTACAAAATAACGAGTCACTCAGGCAATTAACCAATCTAGTGTCTAAAATATTAGCCAGTGCGTAAATGATAAAAGGTGAACATGGTATGCTCCTTATTACAACTGAGTTATCCCCTCTCCCCAACCAGCTATCAAGAGATGAACTTTTTAAAAATAATAATACGACCCTTTTACTCGCCCTCGATTAATGCGGCAATGCGTAAAAGTCACCTTTTAGATCACGCCTGGCCCAAATTGTTCAACGAGGCGGATTTTATTGGGTTGTCAAGACAACATTCGTATTTCCCGCTTGCCTTTCTTTCTCCTACCACAAAATAGTTTATGGACACCCTCCACCGGATGATGACCTACGCAGGAGAACGTACAACACCAAATTCCGTCTAATTACACAATAAAAGTAGCATGTATAATTAACAACAAGGCCCGAGTTGCCCAGAAACAAAATGGAGCGAGGATTAAACACAAGAAGCATAACATGTAAAAAAATAAATCTAGGCTTGCAATAACCATACAACACAAACACTCTGTACAAAACAGAACGGACAATCCCCAGTACAAAAATGCAACCGGTGGCTCTTTAAGTTGCCAAGTCCTTTAGTCATTCGACAATCGAGGAGTCGATGCAATCCATGGAGGTACCACCTTCCCCTTGTTCCTCCTCCTCCTCCTGCATCTCTTGATTCAGACCAGCGAAATCAAAGCGCACCGGCAGACAGCGGAAGGTCTGCAGTTCGAGAAGAACCAGAGTGTACGTCCTATCAAACCGCGGCACGGAGATCATCATGG